CAGTGTAGTGGCCGAGGTCAACCATCTATCCGGAGGAGCTTGAATAACCAGTACAGTAGGTTAGGCTTTTTCAAACATTTTAGTTTGGCAATCTTTCCTTTACCCTGTATATGCTGGTGTTCCATACTTCTGCCATAATGCTGTTATGATGACAGAGCCGTAAACACTCCCCAAGCCTAGTCTTTGCTGAACCAGGTATCACCGGAGGCTGAAGTCCTTGGGTGATGTTACCGCTGTGTGTTGGATGATGAGGACAGCCTTCTGACTCGAGGGCGGTAGTTTGTTTGAACTGGTGAGCAAAGGGATATGGTGGTGCACTGTCATTGGTGACTAGGGTTGTAGAAATGAGCTTTGCAATGTTGCGCTTTGCAGTCATCTGAAGAAGTTATCTGAAGAAGTGAAATAAAAAAATCATTTGAAGATTAGGAATATGAACAGTACTGAATTTTTCTTTTTTTAAAAGTGTTTCATTATTAATAAACGCATTTGACATAAAAAGTATTCTGTCTATGCAACACCAATGTAACATTTTCAAAGCAAAAAGATATGTCATAGAATTGTCAATTTACTCCAGGTGTGCCAATTTTGTGGGAATCAATAGTGTAGTGGCCGAGGTCAGCCATCTATCAGGAGGAGCTTGAAATAACTCTGTACAGTAGGGTTAGGCTTTTTCAAACATTTTAGTTTGGCAATCTTTCCTTACCCTGTGAAGGTCCTGATACATTACATGTTATGCTGTGTTCCATACTTCTGCACAATGCTGTTTTGGTGACAGAGCCGTAAACACTCCCCAAGGCCTAGTCTTTGCTGAACCAGGTATCACCGGAGGGCTGAAGTCCTGGTGATGTTACCGCTGTGTGTTGGACGATGAGGACAGCCTTCTGACTCGAGGGCGGTAGTTTGTTTCAACTGGTGACAAAGGGGTATGGTGGTGCACTGTCATTGGTGACTAGGGTTGTAGAAGTGAGCTTTGGCAACGTTGCGCTTTGCAGTCATCTGAAGAAGTTATCTCAAGAGTGAAATAAAAAAATCATTTGAAGATTAGGAATATGAACAGTACTCAATTTTTCTTTTTTAAAAGTGTTCACCTTATTAATGAACGCATTTGACATAAAAAGTATTCTGTCTATGCAACCCTAATGTAACATTTTCAAAGCAAAAAGATATGTCATAGAATTGCCATTTACTCCAGGTGTGCCAATTTTGTGGGAATCAACAGTGTAGTGGCCGAGGTCAGCCATCTATCAGGAGGAGCTTGAAATAACTCTGTACAGTAGGGTTAGGCTTTTTCAAACATTTTAGTTTGTCAATCTTTCCTTACCCTGTATATGCTGGTGTTCCATACTTCTGCCACAATGCTGTTTTGGTGACAGAGCCGTAAACACTCCCCAAGGCATAGTCTTCGCTGAACCAGGTATCACCGGAGGGCTGAAGTCCTGGGGTGATGTTACCGCTGTGTGTTGGACGATGAGGACAGCCTTCTGACTCGAGGGCGGTAGTTTGTTTGAACTGGTGAGCAAAGGGTATGGTGGTGCACTGTCATTGGTGACTAGGGTTGTAGAAATGAGCTTTGCAACGTTGCGCTTTGCAGTCATCTGAAGAAGTTATCTCAAGAAGTGAAATAAAAAAATCATTTGAAGATTAGGAATATAAACAGTACTAAATTTTTCTTTTTTAAAAGTGTTCACATTATTAATGAACGCATTTGACATAAAAAGTATTCTGTCTATGCAACCCCAATGTAACATTTTCAAAGCAAAAAGATATGTCATAGAATTGCCAATTTACTCCAGGTGTGCCAATTTTGTGGGAATCACTAGTGTAGTGGCCGAGGTCAGCCATCTATCAGGAGGAGCTTGAAATAACTCTGTACAGTAGGGTTAGGCTTTTTCAAACATTTTAGTTTGGCAATCTTTCCTTACCCTGTAAAGGTCCCGATACATACATGTATATGCTGGTGTTCCATACTTCTGCCACAATGCTGTTTTGGTGACAAAGCCGTAAACACTCCCCAAGGCCTAGTCTTCGCTGAACCAGGTATCACCGGAGGGCTGAAGTCCTGGGGTGATGTTTACCGCTGTGTGTTGGACGATGAGGACAGCCTTCTGACTCGAGGGCGGTAGTTTGTTTGAACTGGTGAGCAAGGGGTATGGTGGTGCACGGTCATTGGTGACTAGGGTTGTAGAAGTGAGCTTTGCAATGTTGCGCTTTGCAGTCATCTGAAGAAGTTATCTCAAGAAGTGAAATTTAAAAAAATCATTTGAAGATTAGGAATATGAACAGTACTCAATTTTTCTTTCTTAAAAGTGTTAACCTTATTAATGAACGCATTTGACATAAAAAGTGTTCTGTCTATGCAACCCCAATGTAACATTTTCAAAGCAAAAAGATATGTCATAGAATTGCCAATTTACTCCAGGTGTGCCAATTTTGTGGGAATCAACAGTGTAGTGGCCGAGGTCAACCATCTATCCGGAGGAGCTTGAAATAACTCAGTACAGTAGGGTTAGGCTTTTTCAAACATTTTAGTTTGGCAATCTTTCCTTACCCTGTATATGCTGGTGTTTCCATACTTCTGCCACAATGCTGTTATGATGACAGAGCCGTAAACACTCCCCAAGGCCTAGTCTTTGCTGAACCAGGTATCACCGGAGGGCTGAAGTCCTTGGGTGATGTTGGCTGTGTGTTTGGATGATGAGGACAGCCTTCTGACTCGAGGGCGGTAGTTTGTTTCAACTGGTGAGCAAAGGGATATGGTGGTGCACTGTCATTGATGACTAGGGTTGTAGAAATGAGCTTTGCAACGTTGCGCTTTGCAGTCATCTGAAGCAGTTATCTGAAGTGAAATAAAAAAAATCATTTGAAGATTAGGAATATGAACAGCACTGAATTTTTCTTTTTTAAAAGTGTTAACCTTATTAATGAACGCATTTGACATAAAAAGTATTCTGTCTATGCAACCCCAATGTAACATTTTCAAAGCAAAAAGATATGTCATAGAATTGCCAAATTACTCCAGGTGTAAAGGGCCTCCTTCCTTTTTTTTCAAAAAACAGGACGCTAAACATGTTTTATTTTTTTATTTGGCCTTACAATAATATCAAAATGCAATCTTAACAGCTTCATGGTAACTATAATATGTAGGGATGACCTCTGTTTCCAATAAATCTAGTCCCTTGCTGTACACATGATCTATCAATGTCCCCTTCTCAGTAGTACCATTAACAACATGCTGTTTGTAACCTTTATTACACATCAGCTTGTTTACCTGTGAAGAACCTTTAAACAAATCCTCATTAAAATCTCCCATCACAATACACCTAATGCTTCTTTTGTGTAATGCATCTAGCAAATTGTCTAATGATTCACAGAATGATTTGATACTATATGATGGAGGTCGATAAACAACTGAAATCACAACAGAAACTGGTTTGGTGACAAGAATTGCAATAACTCTAAGTTGTCGACAGATATGTCTAATCTACTTGAATATGTATTCTTGATATACATTGCAACACCTCCGTGCGATTGTTCTTTGAGTACATTTCCAACTCCAGAATTACAGTATGAAAGATGTCGTGGCTGATGATAAAATCGAAAGTTATCTCTAAAATAACGTCACAGAGATCATCATCATTAATCCATGTTTCGGTCAAGCAAATACAATCTACATTCACAAATTGGCACTGGGATTTGAAATCGATAAAATGCTGTTTTAATCCTTGTACATTTTGCATTACCAAAGAAAAGTTATAATCGTGAATATCTTCAGAAGTTTCATTCTCGATAAACGGCTTCATAATCTCAATGCGTTCTTTAATTTCTGGATTACAATATATACGTTTAGGATCGAAATGTTCTATCACAAGTCCAGATAACGAAGTAACGCGACTAAGCCCAACATATGCCTGTCCAGATTGAAATACATTTTTTAATGATACAACAGCTTTGTCTAATGTCGAACCTTGTACTTTATGAATTGTGCAAGCATAAGCAAGCTTAAGTGGAAATTGTTTTCTCACATATTTCTTACCAATGGATTCTTGAGACATTTCGATTGAATGAATACCAATATCGGCCTTCTCAAAATTAACTTTGATGCAAACTGGATTCAAATTTGTATGATCCGTTATTATTTCTGTTACATTTCCGAAACATCCATTTGTCAGGCCTTTACTAACATCAATGTTTTTGAGCAGCATCACTCTAGCATTAACTGCAATCCACAGATAAGGAGGCAACTGGGTTTTCTTCTTTGTATAAGGTTTTTCCCGTATTTGATTTCCTTTTTTAACATCTTTGTCCATGTCTTGTGCTTTTACGCATATCACATCTCCACATTTTTATGCAATAATTTCTTGTTCCAAGCATCTACTTCATTGTTACATGCATAGATATGCAGAGCATTTTCACATTCTTCACCAGTCTCGCAGGACTTGAGCATTGCTAGGTCTTCATCACAGAGAATCTCTTCCCCTTGTTTTACACGTAATCTATTTAAGAGAAAAGCGAATTGGGTATCGTCTTTTTGTCTCATAATGTCTTCAAGTTCTACTTTCTTGAAATTAGCATTCCACAATGCACCATTGAGTGTGTCTTTATATAAAGGAGTTCCTAAGACTGGAGGTAACTGATACATGTCTCCCACAGCAATAACTGAAACACCAGCAAAAGCAGTTTGATCTCGTGATTGTTTTATTTGTCGTAGGCGGCCGTGAATGTAAGACATCATCTTTTGATCTACCATTGATACTTCATCTATGATTAAAATTTGCAATTCAGCCAGCTTATTTCGAAGGACACTTATTTTCTCATCACTCAGCGGTTGATACAGTACTTGTGCATTGATTGGAATAGAAAGAATACTATGTATAGTATGGCCATTGATATTGTATGCAGCTACTCCGGTTGGAGCCATTTTCAATACTGAGACATCATCAGGATGTGGCAACATTCGGGCTAGTATACGTGTTGCTTCATAGTAAAGACATTTGATCAAATGACTCTTTCCAGTGCCAGCACCTCCAGTTAGAAACATATGAAACGGTTCGACCGATTTTCCATTTACTCTATCTAAACACCACTGTCGTATTTTGTAAAAAACACTCTGTTGCTTCTCATTCAAAGACCTCATCAAAGAATGTCCATCTTGTTTGGAAATTTTTACCGAACGTAGTTCGATGCTATAGTCATCTTTTTTCGGTTCATTCTTTAAATCTGGATATCAAGATCTCCATCACAATCTTCGACATCTACATTTTCTTTGGGATGTTCAAGTCGCTCTACTTCCTTTTCCGGACATAAAAGACCCCATGCATCTTCGTGTGGACCAAATTTGTCAAGATGCTCCTGTGCATGATCAATTGCATCGGCGTTCATTTCAAACTTCTTTCGGTTAGTACAGACAATTGACCAGACTTTCTCCAATTCACGTCCACATATTTTCACAGAACCTGTCTCGTAGAACTCTTCATGTGTTTCAAATGTTGGGGGCTTTAATTGTCCATCTTCAAAATATGGCAGAAAGAGTTGCAAAATGCTCAAATAATATTTTTCGGGTGAGATAATGGGTGAGAATCGGGGATATCTTACAACTGCATCTCCCGTACGAGTACGCTTCTGAATATACCCCAGATCGTTATCTAATTTAAAGACATTTTTACTTCTTGTACTTGGCTTTTGGGATGCAGTTAAGATTCTATACTGAGAACAAAACGTTGCAAGACACATATCACTGAATTCTGCGTTTCTAGGTCGAGCTTTGTATCTGTCGAGCTTGCTAGGCATCCAAACATTCTCATCATCATCATTATCGTTATCTGGTCTGCTTTTTATAACGCTTAATGGTAAACTCATTCTGACAGGGTCGGGTCCAACAGGAATGAATTCCACTTTCCTAGAACATTCTTTCAATCTGAGACTGCAAACACGATAGACGCTTTCTTGAGCAGACACTTCACGATTTTGCATGTACACCTGGCCAAGTTTTTTCATGCTTTCCTTTGCGTTTTCATTTCCCTCTTTCATTTCTGATAGTGTATGACTCAATAGCATTCCGATTTCTCGTTCAGCTTTTGACATGTAGGATACAATATAAGCCACGCATGCAAATACATTTGTTACAAACTGCAAATCCATGTTGGCATTCCAGCTTCTTAGTAGACTTGGATTAAACTGATTTACCCATACATCTTGTATTTCTCTTTTGATGATTATACTTTGTTGTGATGCTAATTCATTATGTGCATTCTCAAATTGATTTTGTGTAATGCCAAGCTTTTCAAAGAGATGGTTTACACTGTTGTACTCGATTCCATTGGATAATGCATCTTTAACTGACTTCAACAATTTCTCTGCATCATCTTTAATCTTTTTAGAAGCTTTAATTTGATCATTGTCCTTTCCCTTATTTTGCACTTTCCCACAATCTTTAGCTGGAATCTCTTCAACAGGTGTTACAATGAATGTTTTTTCAGATGGTGGTCTTGGGAAATTAAATCTACACGCTTTTCCCGTTTTTGTGCAAGATTTAGAATGTTTCTTACTGTGTTGTTGGACCTTGCTCACTATTTCATGTAGTTCTTGATCTTCCTTTTCATCCGGTTTCTGGCAAGAAATGTATTTATCTACGAATTGTACGACATCATCATCTTTATCGATACCCAACTGTGGAGCATTTTGAACCCAGAACAAGGCATGAATGTGAGGGGAACCACGGGCTTGATACTCTACTCTCCAAAATGAATCAACTACTTTACCAATCGGTGCAGCGGGAGATAAAATAACTCTCTTCATAAAAGTGTGAAATCTTTTATCAAACATTCTGGCAACTGTTACTGGATTTGATCTTAAAAGATTACATTTTTCTGTATAGTCTAATTCACTCGATTCCCTGGTGTCTCCTTTTTGTCTAAGCAATGTATTCATTAATTCTGGCCATCTCATATCGGCAGATGAGAAAGAAGCAAACCATGTCGGCTTTCCAAGCTGTCGTACCATTGCGAGAACATCTTTTTGTGTCTTTTGCCAGAATGGAGGTGTTCCACGAATTTGCTTTAAAAATTTATAGCCCTTGTCTGATTTTAGTATTTTTTTTAACTTTCTCTGCATCTTTCAAATCTGAGGCAGTTATTGAAGACGAATCATCTTTTTTGTTTGGACTTTGCCTTAAAGCGATAGAAACTTGTGATATAACCTGTTGAATTTCATAAATATATTGTGCATAAAAGATGTAATCTGTATTCTGAGCAAATCTGTTGTCCACGTGCATCAGTCGGTTATGGAGATAACGTCCTAATGTTATTTTTTCATCTCTTCTATCATGGAATGTTGGTTGACCTTTAGGAAATAATACTGGGAAACATTTGGCCTCATTGCTTTCATCTTGTAGAATTGATACAGGGCTTCTTCCTTCACAAGGAGCACAACATATTATGTCTTCAAAATACTGATCTAATATTTCCTGTCCAATATCTACTGGCTGGAGACACGAGTCTAACTGAATACCGCGTAATCGTTCTTCCATATCGTCTTCAGTGTCCTTGTCATTTATTTTTTTGTGTAGTTTTACTGTTGTCTTGCATGTTTTCATTAGTATTTTTGTCTTTGGACAAAATGTAATCAATTTGTTCTTCCATTTCCTTCCAATATTTTGCTAAACGAGCTTTACCA